TATATATATATATATATATATATATATATATATATATATATATATATATATAATTCGACGACGTCGTCTCGTTTATATATATAAAAATTAATAAATATATATATTTATATATAAAAGATTATATATATATATATTTGTTTATAAAAGGCGACATCGCCTTTTCCTTCTCCTACGCTGGGCGACGTCGCTGAAAAATATTATATATATATATATATATATATATATATATATATATATATTTGTTCCATCCTGTCACGGATAAAGTTCTAAACAGGATGTTTGATGTAATACTTATGTATGTCTGTGTCTTTTGGTTTGTTCATGCTTTGCATAGTATGTAGAGGGACGGTCGAAGGCTTAAAAGCCTCATTTTAGTTGGGTTTGATGGTCTTCTTAAGCTTGTAAATAAAGGTTGTGTCATGTGGACACTTGTGAGAGATATTCGGTCTATAGTAGGGTCATGAGCATGACAGCGCAAAGGTACCGCAAAGGCGGGACTTTCGTGAAAGTCATTGATCCCTTGCTCTCATGGAGGTAGAGCGCTTGATCGTGAAAGGGGCCGAGGAGGTGGAGCATACAGAGGCAAACTCCAAGTACCGAGACAAGGCTGAAGGGCAGAGGCTAAGAAACTTCGTAAGACCGGTGTTAACGAGCTTCTCATCAAGATAGCCGAAAGTGAAGGACTTCGGGTTATGCAAGAGTGCACGACCAAGGAACGAAGCAGGCAGTACGCGGTGTTGTACCTTTGCTACTCAGTGGAGTAGGCGGCCGGGTTGATGGAGAAGACGGTACAATCCCAGAGGCGATCAAAACTATTAGAGACTTACTCCAAGTTGGGGTGAAAACTTCTTGCATTCCAGAAGTTCAATGACATTGAGAAGGTGAATCGCAGTAGCTAACTCAATGTAAAGAGTGCAAACACTTCGAGTACTTCAGAAGTGTGAGCAAAGAGCAGGCGAAGGCCAATAACCAGCTCGATGCATGAAGTACAACCCTTGAGGAGGCGGGTAAAGTCAAGTAACCATTGCCTTCTCAACTCTTAAAAGAATGGGCAAAACCGAGTACCCCAATCTCTTATCTATCCAGCAGAGGAGCGCTGCACAGGTTCAAAGACCATTCGAAGATAATGGAAGACAATAGTTGTCAAATCCTCACCAATGGTGATCAATGCTACTGAGAGTAGATTATCCGCTTCATTTCTCAACAGAATGCCAATCGATAGTGGAAGTGATGCTAATCTACTTGGAAGTGACAACTAAATGAAAGAAGAGTTGATGGACATTTTGTTGAGGAAGGATCCAAAACTTCGAAAGTTTGCGAGGCGATGCTCGTTAAAGCTCCAACAAGCATCCACTCAGTTCAAGCAGCATGAGACATTTGAGAGACTGACGCATAGTAAGGATGGTCTTTTCCTTCATCTGGAGGATCTGCAGGAATCAACAAGGGTCAACACAACTCAGCCAACCCCACATTAGAGTCAAAGTCATTGGCGAGTTGAAACAGCATAGCGGATCAAAAGTTTGACTACTCAACAACAGCAGCGGAGAGCAGCTGAGAGCTAAGAGACGCATTGCAGTTGGAGCAGAAGATTGAAGACTCAGCAAAGGCGATGAGTTGCAGTGTACGCTTCGACGAGGACGTCGAAGGAATAAGTGGGGGAGAATGTCACGGACAAAGTTCTAAACAGGATGTTTGATGTAATACTTATGTATGTTCGTGTCTTTTGTTTTGTTCATGCTTTGCACAATATGTAGAGGGATGGTCGAAGGCTTAAAAGCCTCATTTTAGTTGGGTTTGGTGGCATTCTTAGGCTTGTAAATAAAGGTTGTGTCATGTGGACACTTGTGAGAGATATTCGGTCTATAGTGGACTATTTTGACCCTTTGTTATGCAACCGTTCACAGCTTGTAAAGTCTGTTTGTAATTTGCATTGTCTATGAAGTGTTTTTGGAAATGTTTGCTTGTGGATCCCGAGTGAGGCGTTTTCTCTAATTCGTTTTCTCTTTTGTATGTCCTAAGGGACCATGGGAGGCTTCGGGGAGGTTGCGGACGGATACGCAAGGGTGCCACACGAGTTAGGGAAAACTAGCTAAGTCCGTGACAATCTGGTAACGGGCGGTCCATGTACCGGTAAACTGACGGACCGGTATGTACCGCCCGTACCGGACAGTATTATTCGAAATTGTATACCTTGGAAATTTGTATATGAAGAATATCTGTTTTCAAGTTTATGGCTATATGCTGAAGAAAACAAATTGTTCAGATGTCATTTGATCAAGATTTCAATTTAGAATGAAATCTTGTTCAGATAGGTTAACAAGATTTTTAGACCCAAGGCTTCACTCATGGATGCAAAGATCCAGTTTTTATTTATTGTTTATTTGGATAACAAATGCATTCCAAGCCTGGATTTAGGTTGGAAGTGTATGCAAATGCACATATCTGGCTACTGCATTGTTCTTAATTCTTTCTTTAGATACTAAACATCTCGTGATAAGATAGCTTTTTCTATGTTTTCATCATCTGACCTTGTTCATAGATGGAAAATTCCAGTTGCCATTTATTATCATATGGCTAAGGAACATGTCACAAGTGGCATGGATTTAGGTTGGAATTGTATGCCGATGCAGACATCTGGCTAAGAGAGGAATAATATGGAAATTTCTTTCCATCTTCTTTCCCACAGTAATAAACTTGTCATGAAGTTTACCTTTTCCTTCTCTATTTGTTTCTTTTAAGTCTGTCATTGATCTATGTGACCATGAAAGAGTCAGAGAGCGACATGCCGTCATGCATAGTGGCTAGAAGTTACTGTACATGGACTTTCCTTCCATTTGTGCCATTTAGTTACTGACATCTCTGTAGAGCCCTGCATTTTGTTAGGACTCTAGCTAGGAG